TGTTTCTTCAAAATCAATCCCCGGTCTCTAGGAAAAACTCTGGGCTACAAGCCTTGCTTTATATCTTGTGATATCATTATTTTTATTTCTTTTTCTCACAAGCACCCATCTGTAATCAACAGGTTTCACATTTGCAGGTGTTTGGACTATAGGGCCGAATACTTGCCGTCTTTTCAATGAGTCCAATTCAGACTTAATTGCATCTTTCCATTTTGCCCAATCATCTCTTTGCCGACATTCATCAACTGATTTTGGTTCATAATCCTCGTCATCTTTCATTATATCGAGTGCTACAGAATATGCAAATGTATTATCAATATTTGTTTTCGTTCTGTTCCAATATTTTCCATTGGTGGTATAGTAAACAAAAGTTTCAATAACTTCATCATCACTTTCATCAGAATTTTTAGTATCAACCTCTTCAGGGGTTGTACTGACCTTTTCAGTTATCTTACCATTGTTGATATCTTCACCAGTATTTACAATTTTCCTCTTTCGTGGATTCTTATCATTGGAACCCGACGGTCTGCCACGTTTTACGCGGGCAGTATGCTCATTAGCACTCGACACTTTCTCTTCTGGGATATTTATTTTAGCTAGTGCATTTGCTGCTGCAATATATGATTTCATAACTCTAGCAGCATCATTAAAAACATCAGGCAATTGGTTTGCAATTTTCTGCAAATGCACAATTCTTTGAACTTCAAGTTCACTATGTTTCGTACGATGATCAAATTCAAGTGGTATTTTCCACGAATTTTCTTTTTTCAGTTGATTACTGTCTCCCCCTAATTTCGGGAAATGTGATTCGTCAAAATGACAGTCTGCAAACCTTGCAATAAATAAATCACCCGTTGTTGGTTCAAGATATTTTGCGATCGAGGGTGCTTTATACCCGACATATATACCCAACCTTCTTTGAGGTCCCATTTTCGTGCGTTGAGGTGGCACAATTGGAACATAAATAGCACGCCCAAATATTCGCATGTGAGATATATTTGGTATTTTTCCAGAAACCAATTGAGTAGAGGAATAATAGTGATAACTTGTCGGCTTTATTTTCACGAGGGCTGCTGTATGCAATATAGCATGTCCCCAATATGATACGGGAAGTTTAGACTTCATTAACAATGATCTAGCAATTAATTACAATATTTTGATAAGGGATTCAACGAGGCCATTTTGCGTATGTACATGGGGAATAAGATGTTCCACAGTAATCCCAATAGACATGAAATAATCAAATGTATGTGATGAATACTTTCCAGCATTATTTAGACGTATTTTCTTTATCGGGTAATCTGAAAATTGTGCTCGCAATTTAATTATTTGTGCAAGTAGTCCAGCGAAAGGTAGATTGCAAGTAGATAACAGACATACGTGTGACCATCGCGTTGACGCGTCAAGTAGTACCATAAAGTATTTGAAGGGTCCACACGGTGGATCTATTGGTCCACAAATATCACCCTGAATTCTTTCCAGAAAAGCTGGGGATTCAAATCCAACCTTTGTTGAAGATGACCTGATTATTAACTTCCCCTGGGAACAGGCAACACAAGCAAATTCATTCGCACTCAAAATATTTTTCTTTTTCAATGAGTGGCCATTTGAATTTTCAACAATTCGCCTCAGCATTACATTGTCAGAATGCCCAAGTCGATCGTGCCAAGTTTTAAATTCGCTAGTAGTAATTTGGTCTACTAGGTGATATGTTTCAATGACACTGAGTTTTTAGTAATATAAGCCGGAAGAAAATTATGACAATTTTTCTTTCACAATTCTCTTGCCATTCACAATCTGAGTAATAAGGAGATACTCATTTTCTGCCTCATTTAATGTTTCAATGTAATACCCATTTTTCCGAATATCATTGAAGCTCAGAAAATTCCTTCAAGCTTTGCTCGAGAGCAAAACATTTTCAATTGCCATTTTTGTCCCTTTTGGGAGATATACAATAGCTTTTCCTGGGCCTTCAATCATTTTCGATGCATCACTGATAGTAAAAATAGTGGTCTTTCCTATATTTAGGTGGGAGAAATAACATTTGTTTTTCAGAATGCTATGAGTCGTAGCACTGTCGATAAGGCAAATGTTGTCATCGGCTTTAAAATATTTGGCATCCATATCTTTGCAAGAAGGTAAAAATAATAAAAGACATGTATTAGTAACATAATCAAAATATACTTATATTATAGGGGGTAATACAAAAAAGGGGGCAAAAAGGGGGGTAATAACGAAAGAGATACCACAATATTTTATCACTTAACATCATCAACTATGTCAAGCAGATCATCGGTATCCAGGTGCGTGATATTTTCATTCATCACATCGCAAATGTGTCATCATAGGCAGCGTGATTTGTTTCGGGGGCAATTCTTCCCTGTCTTTCTTTTGAGACCCGATACAATTCAGCCAAGTGACTGGCCATGCGACAAACATGGGCCCAATGGCCTTTGATTCCACACCGGGTGCACTCCTCATTGTTTATGTTTCTCCCGGTGTTGAACCTCTGTTGAGGTCTGTACGGCCTTTTGTTATTATAACGCCGATTTGGCACATAGTGGGGTCTGTTTTGATAATTATTGTGACTATATGCGTTTGCCCGGCCCCGTCCGCGATTCTAATTTCGATCGCGATCAATTCACTGATTTTTGCAAAATCATGTTAGAGGCATGAAAAGTGGAGAAAGTTTTCTCCATCATATCAGATTAAGATATATTTTTGCCACAGTGGCGCAGCTGTGATGTTATTTTAGACATGACATAATTATATTCTTGAACTGTTTTAAATTCTGAAGCCGTAGGCTTTGCCATTCACTTCGTGCCCTTGGCAACAATGTCAGCCTCAAATGATCATATATTTCTTTCAATTTCTCCCACAATTCAAGTGGAGATTCCAACTTGACATACTGCATTTTCAGTGCCTCATCAATGTGATGACACAAAAAGATCATGGCCTTTGCACGATCTTGGCTTGGGGAGTTTTTATCCCAGACAATGGTATTTTCCAAGCCCATTGATGCAAGATGCATTTTAACATCGCGAGCCGATGCCATATAATTTTGGCCAGAAACGAGGAGAGAGAGAAATTCATATTTGACAAGGTTAGATATAATAAACAGATAAAATATAAAATATTACCTTGCAGAAAATAAAATATATAATCGTGCTGATAACGTTATAATATTAGTATAGGATTAGCCAATAGAAATATTAATTATTACTACCGCTAATTACTATTTTATATATTGTATATAACATATATAGTAATGCAGTGTATATATATATTAAATATATGTATATTAGATATGTATATTTTTGTGTGTGCGGTAAGTATATATATAAACGTAATGATTACTTTATATGTATGTATGTATGCTAGTATATAAACATATCTATATATAATGATGAAAGATGAAGATAAGAATGAGAATGAATTCGTCTATTTATTTTAGCAAATGCCAGAATTTATAGGCATTTCCATATTACATATACGACTGTAAATTTACAACGTATGCTACACGTGGATACTATGTGGTGATGAAATAAAGCATCCACGACTCGATACACGAAGTGAATACATATGCAACAAATAATCAATTATTTATTTTATAGTTATTTTTTAAATAATTTGAAATATTATTATTGATAAATTATTTATTTATTTATTATATTGAAAGAAAAGTATATAAGATATTTTATTTATATAATACTTATTTATAATGAGAAAATAATATTAGGATGTATGTGATATTTTATCCATATTTTAATTTAATATGAGAAGATTTTAAGTAAATATAAGATATTTTGTATTTATAATAAAACACAATGATTAATACATTCAATTTACCCAAAAATCAATAAAAAACAGTCATGGAGTTGAAAAACTAGTGAGAGATTTATTATAATTTATTAAAATAGAATAATACAATTGTGGACGAATAAAATAGTTTATTTGATTATGCTCCTTCAGTTACAAGTCAAAGTTTATTTCTTTTTATTATTATTTTCTTTCGTTCCACTAAAAATATTATTATAGGCATTAATATCATAATATTTTTTAATTTTGAGAATGAGGGTGTAGTCCAAGTAGCTAAGGCTTCAAACCCTTGACCTTAGGTAGATGGTTCAATTATACACATACAATTAATTAATATACTCCCTCCGTCCCATAACAAAATATTCATTTTCTTCATTTTAGTCCGTCCTATAACAAAGTATTAATTTTTTTAGTAGGCTGTACTATGTACCTAATATTACAAATACCCTTACAATTTACAATATATTATACAAATATCATTACATTTATATTACACATACTAATAAAATTATTTTAGTCATTTCTACTTTATTCCTACTATATCCCAATATAATACTAATATTTTTAAAACTAAGTGTAAAAAGCAAATGCATATTACTTTTGGGACGGAGGGAGTATAAAATATAAAAAAAAATATTAAAATTATTTTATAAATTTTTACTGACTAATAAAATATTATTAATTTTTAATTTATTAGAAAATTTCAAAAAGACCTTTTTAATTCAAACAAAAAAGAGTACATAAGTTTAGGACAATATAAAGAAAAAAGAAAAGTAGGGTTGTGTTCTTTTCTGGGCCTTAACACATATTTTTATTATTTATTTTTTTTTAAAAAAATTAGTATTTGAATAATAAAAATTTTGAATTTAATAGTTCGATTAAATAAGTATTGATATAATGTTTTGAATATAAAATTAATTCTTAATATGCTATAAAAAAATAAAAAATAAGTATTTAATTTAATATTTTTTAAAAATTTTTTTGGATGAATAATAAAATTATGATGAAATCCTGTAACCGAACACATAAAACCTTAGGTTTAGGGTTTTAAGCAGTAACTACATTGATTTAAAATCAAACGAAACACATCATATTTCTCTACACACGCTTTTCAGTTAACAAATAGAAAACGTAAACAGTTAAAATCGTGTTTCTTAAAACCCTAAACCCTGCTGGAATAGAACCACCTCATTCTAGACGCTTCTTTCACTCCCATTTAACAGACACCTCCTCTGCTCCAGCGTCTCCTAAGCACACCTCCATATCTTCACCTTTGTGAACTTCATACAATTCTTTGCCAAGGTTGAAATATGTATCGCTTCGCAGCCAATCTTGCTTCCAAAGCCAGGTAATCAATTTTCCCTTTTTCTTTTTTCGGTGGACCACTGCATTTCTGCTATGCTATTGTGTAATCACTCGTTTATGATTTGAGGAGAATCTGATTTTCTCGATTCTGCAGGCTAGCGAAACGCACCACTCAACAGGTACATTTTTTTCCCATTATGTTTTATCTTCTCCCCCCCCCCCCCCCCAATGAAAAAAAAAAAAAAGTTTAATTCGTATTGTTTGTATGCTTGAATGTCTTGGTTTCACCCGTATGAGCTATAAATTTTGGGGGTATTCGTTCTAGGTTGGTGGTAGCTTGGGTTGGAGCAGAAATTATGCAGCAAAAGACATTAGATTTGGAGTTGAAGCAAGGGCCCTGATGCTCAAGGGTGTCGAGGAGCTTGCAGAAGCCGTTAAAGTTACTATGGGCCCAAAGGTACTTTATGTTCTTCGTATCTATTGCTTAATCTTCCTTTTATTTTGTTAAATTTTTGCTTGTTAGTATACCTTTTGAGGTCCTAATAGTGCTTAATACGTTGGTAGCATATTTACTTTGTCGGATTAATTTTGATACCCTTTACTGAAGGCCCTTATTAGATAACATCATTAGTAACTTTATTTGTTAACCAAATGTAGCGGACAATGTAAAATAATACAATAAAGAATCCGGGATAACTACCCAATATATCAAAGTAAACTTGCAGAATGCTCGGCCAATTTTATGTCACATGTATTTTAAATCTACTTTAATTGATTCTTGAGTTGTTCTCTGCGCTTTATATGATTCATCTTTCTATTCAAAATTTTCACTTGGCTTGCACATATTGTATCATCGATATTGATTTTATTGTCAGCAAGTGAGTTTATGTTTTTGTTGGTCTAGGGGCGTAATGTAGTGATTGAACAAAGCTGGGGTGCCCCTAAAGTGACCAAGGATGGTGTGACAGTTGCAAAAAGCATTGAATTTAAGGACAAGGTTAAGAACATTGGTGCTAGTCTTGTAAAGCAGGTTGCCAATGCCACAAATGACGTTGCTGGTGATGGTAAGTGTTTCTTTTATGTTTTAATTTCTATCAAGTCAAGCTTACACAGATGAATTTCATCCTTATTATGTCTTTGCCTTTCAGGTACTACCTGTGCTACCGTTCTCACTCGATCAATTTTCATGGAAGGCTGCAAGTCCGTAGCAGCTGGCATGAATGCCATGGATCTCAGAAGGGGGATTACAATGGCTGTTGATGCTGTAGTTACAAACCTAAAAAGCAGAGCAAGAATGATTAGCACATCGGAAGAAATTGCCCAGGTTTATAACTGTTATCCCTCTTTAATTATTGGGGATTAATTAATGTATAGTTCAATTCGAGATCTGTATAATGATGTCTCCGATGTATCAAATAAATATGTATCAGTTAGAGGTCAAATTGTTTCTGTCTATTCTTTCACTTGCAGCTTATAATAGGATTCTGCATTTGTAGGTTGGGACAATTTCTGCTAATGGAGAAAGAGAAATTGGTGAGCTGATTGCGAAGGCAATGGAAAAAGTTGGCAAAGAGGGTGTCATCACTATCCAAGTATACTTCCAAACCTGAATCTGGTGATATGAAATTATCTTTCTAATTGTAATTTTCTGATTGTAAGAAAGGGAGCAATATTACTTACATTGTTGGGGTAGAGGGTTCATAGTTCTTTGATTTTGCTACTTCCATGTTCTCCCAGGAATCCATCCATGAACCCTAATTGTTAACATAGGAATCGGAACCACCCCATGCATTTGTAGGGCTTTGTCTTGCTTTTAGCGTCTTGCAGGACTTGACCTACCTGAATAGCTTTTTTTCTTTATTCTTTTCTTTTTTTTTATTTTTTTATTTTTTAACGAAAGGAGCTAATGATGCAGAAACTGAGCTGACTTGTTAGCGCTAGATAATATTTTTAATCTGCAGTGTCCATGGATTAGAAGATAATTGCATGATGCCCTGTATTTAAATGCATGTTTTCATTAAATTAAATTGCTACTGATCTCCCTGAATTGTACTTTTGTGTTAAAGCCATATTTATTATATCCCCAAAATTCCAACTTAGTGCGCCTATATATTAATATCATACAATCTGATTGTGGTTTATCCTTCATGTTCTTAAACCTATGGATGTTGTCTTGCTTTGGTCTTATTTACATTATGTGATTTTTTTTGTTTTATTTCGTAGGATGGCAAGACATTGTTTAATGAATTGGAAGTTGTCGAGGGGATGAAGTTGGACAGAGGCTATATTTCCCCCTACTTCATCACAAACCAGAAGAACCAGAAATGCGTATGATTATTAGTTGATATTTCACTATGGATCATGCTAGCTCTTTTCTACTTGAATATTGGTTCAACAAAAGTTTTTGACTATTAACAGGAGCTGGAAGATCCTCTTATTTTGATACATGAGAAGAAAATATCAAGCATAAATGCAATTGTGAAAGTTTTAGAATTAGCTTTGAAGGTATGCATTTTATCATCATGAAATGCTGTTTGAGGCAATGTAGTAGCCACATGATTATTTATGTCATGTCTGTGCAGAGACAAAGGCCCCTCCTCATAGTTGCTGAAGATGTGGAGAGTGATGCTCTTGCAACTCTTATCCTCAACAAACTGCGAGCAGGAATAAAGGTACTAAAACTTTCTTCTACAATGTAATGTTTTGTTTGAATGAGAATGCTAAGTGGCAAAGCAAACTTTCCTACATTTACACTTAATATTGCAGGTTTGTGCTGTAAAGGCTCCTGGATTTGGTGAAAACAGGAAATCAAACATGCAGGATCTATCCATACTGACTGGAGGCCAGGCAAGTGCATTTTAAAGTATGTCCTTTCCTTAAAATGTCTTGAAGCTCTTCTTACTAAAGATTTGCGACACATCCTCATATTTAGGTGATAACGGAGGAGCTTGGAATGAATCTTGATGATGTGGAGTTGGATATGCTGGGCTCGTGCAAGAAGGTACCTACCCTACTTTGGTTTGATTTCCCCGTTCTTCCATTTTTATTTTTATTCTTTTACTTGTAGCGATACTCCTCTATTTCTTCTGAAAGTTATCTTTCCTTGTGTCGTGATGTATAAATTTCTCCTGCTTAGATTTAAATGTTTTTTCTTGCTAAAGGTCACTATCTCTAAAGATGATACTGTAATTCTCGATGGAGCTGGTCAAAAGAAAGCAATTGAAGAAAGATGCGAGCAGGTTAGAGGCTTCTGGTGCAATATAATATCTGGAAACCTTTGGATGTTTAGGGTCCTAATGGGTTTGTTGTTAAACTCGGATTTCTCCCATAACCCTTTTAATCATAGCGCAGATAAGATCGGCAATTGAATTGAGTACTTCTGATTATGACAAGGAGAAGTTGCAAGAAAGGCTTGCTAAACTTTCCGGCGGTGTAGCAGTACTAAAGGTCTGTTTATCTCTCCTTATGAGTAATAGCATAGATATTATGTGTTTGTCAAGTATGATATATCTACCTGCTATGAAATGCTGCTGTAAAAAAAGCTTATCACAGTATGTTATTCTTCTATAAGATTGGAGGAGCTAGTGAAACAGAAGTCGGTGAAAAAAAAGATCGGGTAACAGATGCTTTAAATGCCACAAAAGCTGCTGTAGAAGAAGGAATTGTGCCTGGTATGTTTGTTTCATTCATGCTGTAGTGTTATTGGTTCATCCATTGATCTACAGACTGAATTAAGCTAGAAATCGTTGTAATAATGTAGGTGGAGGAGTTGCTCTACTCTATGCTTCCAAGGAGTTGGATAAATTGCCTACAGCAAACTTTGATCAGAAGATTGGTGTTCAAATAATTCAAAATGCATTGAAGGTAATCACTTCCATTATGATGTGTTTTTTGTCTTTCTGTATTTATTAGTTTTTTTAAGGAAAAAAGAAATTGTTCTCTCTTACGACTATGGAACTTGTAATTGCAGACACCAGTTCACACAATTGCATCCAATGCCGGAGTGGAAGGTGCTGTGGTTGTCGGGAAGTTGTTGGAATCAGATAATCCAGATCTTGGATACGATGCAGCTAAAGGTCAAACCAGCAACTGATGATTCTTTTTGATAGGTTACACCATACATAGTATATATATATATATATTTTTTTGATCGGCTAAAATAAAATGCATGTTCTTGCTGGGTGGTGGAAACAGGTGAATATGTTGATATGGTGAGATCGGGAATCATTGACCCATTGAAGGTTATCAGAACCGCGCTTGTAGATGCTGCTAGGTGAGTGGCCTTCCTTTTCTTCTACTCTTATTTATATTTTTATGATGATCAAACTTAAAAGCAAGAAATGATCGTCTCTCACACTCTATCTCCATCTGGGCTATTGGCAGTGTTTCTTCATTAATGACGACTACCGAAGCTATTGTTGTTGAACAACCTAAAGAAGAGACATCTGTGGCTTCACCGGGCGGGATGGGTGAGATGGATTACTAAGCTAAGTCATGGAATGGAATTGAGGCATTGCCACTTTTGGAAAACATCATTAATTTTTCAGAATAAGTTAAGAGATGCTCCGGGCGTGCAGGTGCGTGCATATCCTTCCTTCATCACAATTGAGAAATGAGTATATTATATTTCGATGGCTTAGGTGTTGGATGATGATATTAACATCTTTTACATATTACTACTACTACTACTACTACATATTTGAACCATTGGATCCATTACATTACCCTTTTTAATTAAAATCACTGACTCACTGCGTGACTTGGAATGCAAAGAAAGATTTGATGGATGATGGAATGAATGATTGTAGTAGTGTCTGGTGTAACAAAGTCATATCATATCATTTTTCAACAGTTGATTTGGAGTTTAATCTGCATCTCCTGCACTGCACTGCAACGAATGGTAATTAATGCATTTTTGCAGGCCTTGTTTTTTCCCATCAGATCTATGTGATTGATTGACTTTGTATATATTTAGATTTAAATTAGAGAATGTGAACTTTAGGTTTTATTGTAAGTTTTATAATAATGATATAATAGCTGTACAGGAAGTAGTTATATAATCATAGATGATGTTGTATTTGGGCTCCCAAAAAATGTGAATTTGGGGTTTGTAATACAGTATTTGAGCCTAAAGAGAATGAAATGGATCGGGCTGGAGGTAGAGACAAAAGTTGGCCCAGTGGGCTGAACCCATTAGACAAGAAAATATTAATTCTTTTTAAATTATTATGAAGGAAAATTAAATTAACTATGAAGAAAATATGATGAATCCTAGCAACCTTGATAAACATGGCTTTAAAATATTAAACATAAAAAGACAAATAAACCTTCAGTAAAATATATTTAAATTATGTGAGTTGCACTAATAATTTACTCGTCATATTATGCATAAAATGCCTATATATATATATATATTTATTGGTCCTACATAATTTTTTTTTTAAAAATATGATAATTAAATTTTTATAATTTATAATTTTTTTTTTATTTTTAATTAAACTATTTATTTATCTTAATTTTAATTTATAATTATTTTTATTATAAAATAATTATTTTTATTAATATATTTTTTAATTTAATTACTAATTATATTTTAATTAAATTCTCGAAAATATTAAAAAGTATTACATTAATATAATATATTTATAAGATAAGGCCATGTAATACTCTCATTTATATATAATATTATATTACATGAATAATATTATCGATAATTAAAAATTTTATACATTTATAAGATCTAGTATATTTATTATGTTAATTTTGTATTCTATGCTATTATGTGTATTCGTTTTTTAATGGATGTATTTTTTAATATTATATATAAAAATTTATATTGATATTATAAAATAATATTAGTATATTTTTTTTATTGAATTATTAATTTTGTAATAAATAAAATATATATTATATACTGTATTAATTTAAATATATATTATATTTTTTAAATAATATTTATGATAAATCATTCAATTATTTTTAGAATAAGTCAAAGATACTCATAAATATTCATATCTTAATTTTTTTTATTCATTAATTTTTTTTTGCAAAACATGTTCTTGGACAATTTATCGAAAATATATTTATTCAAAAAAAATTAATATATTACATACACTCATTATTTTATATTACTTACACAATTTCTTATATCTTAAATAGAAAAATATCTCTCAAAACAATTTCACTAAACATATACACTACTTTATTTAAAACCACTTTTAGTAAATACTATATATTTATATATTTAATTAAATTATGTAATAACATTTTTTAGTTTTCTCAAAAATATAATTTTAAACCAAATATTTATTTAATTAAATAATGTGAATAATATTATTAATTTTGTTTTTATGTTTCACAACATCAATAATATTATTACATTTATTATATTAAATTTTCTATATATCTATATAAAATACATATTAATATTTTGTATATGTTTTTTTTTTTTTTTTTTATATTTTGTGAATATATTATTAGGATATAAGTATAAAATATGATGCATATTATCTAAAAAGTTACAGAAATTTTAAAATATTGTTACTGTAATATATTAAATATATTTTTGTTTATGTAATATATTCATAATAAAAACTGAAGTGCATGTAATACGTGTGTGTTTTGTTTGTTTTGTTTTATTTTATTTTTTTGATTTTTTTTTATTATTTTTCACATGGTTGTCAATAAAAAATATATTATTTTATTTTAAAAAATATATTAAAAAATACTATTTAAATTAAATTTAAATCATCGGCTTAATTTTAAATCCAAACCAAATAAACCTGTAAACTTCTACACAATCTATATATATATATATATTCACTAAATTGTATACCACGTTAAATCCTACTATTAAACTTATTTGTTCTAATATTTTTTTCTTTTTTCCAAATTTTAGGCTCTATTTTTAAAATTCCTTATTATATCAAATAATGTATTTCATTTATTTACAATATTATTTGATATTTATTTTGTCAATATCTAATACTATCCCCGTTCAACTCTAAAGGTTTCATTTATTTTTTGCGTGTTGATTTTTAAATATTAATTATTATATCAAAACGTAGTACAAATTAAGAAAAAATTACAAAAATATTTTTATTAGTATCTTATACTACTAATAGAATAACATTTGTACAAAAAATTATACAAATATAATAATATTTTTAATGTTAATACAATGACACAAAAAGTAAATGTGACCCTTAAGCGGACGGAGGGAGTATATGTTTATATATTTTAGTAATATTGAGTTGGTACATATAACGTTCCGTAGTGGAATTTTGACTTTTAATTTTGAATAATAAAATTTTGAATTAAAATAAATATTTAATATGATATAAATATATATTGATTTGATATTTTTTTAACATAAAAATAAAATTAATATAATATAATAAATAAAAAATAAAATTTTGATTTAATATTTTTTAAAATAAATTAAAATAATAAAATAATGATGAAAATCACACGTATAAATAGATCCATAAAGATTATCACAATAAAATCAACCCTGCATGTTGTATGTCGTTTTCTTATGTTTTTTTCATTATTATTCCGCTCCCCTAAAAAGATTGCAATAGTTTTTTTTGTCTGTTTTTATTATATTAATATGTAGTACAAGTTAAAAGAAAAAAACAAAAATATGTTATTAGTCTCTTATAATACAAATACAGTCACATTTGTGGATTAAATTATTCAAATATAAAGATATTTTTAATGTCAAATAACAATGGTTTTGCACCGAGATGGAGAGAGTATTATTATTATTATTATTATTATTATTATTATTATTAGTTATTCTTATAGTTGTTTCTTTTTTTTTTCTTTTTCTTTCTTTTATCTTTACCAAGTGTTTTACACTGATTATCTATTATATAAAAACTTGCAAGCATTTTCCATTATTTTTGTTTGTGTTTATTTATTTATTTATTATTTTTAATTAAATTATAAAAATTAATATTCAATTTGTATAATATTAATTTAATTGGGAGCTATACAAATTGAATATTATTATTTTTTTATGTGATATTTTTAGAAAAAATATAAAATAAATAGTAAAAATCTTGTGAGAAATCTACAAAAGAACAATCTAAGTTGTAAAAGTTCAACAGTAACACTCGAATACCATTCCCTATATAGCAACGGGTGTCAATTTGTGCAAATATGATGATGTTGAGTCAATGACAAATAATAATTCTAAAATTATAAGTCGGATACTTTTAGATAGAATTAACTATATGTTAAGTATGAGCTGCTTTAAAGAAATACTTATAAATCTGAAGATGTGATCCATGGCCGAAATAGATAAAATGTGAGAACAAAATAAAGCTGAAATAGTGACGCATGAATGTTATTGATTGAGTGTACACTAAGGTGAAATAATTTAATACATCATGTCAACTGGCCACTACTACATTATGTAATATTGACTATGGAAAATTTAAAGCCACAAGCTAACTGTCCTGATGTGTCAACGTCTCTCTGGAATTGACTTGTGCATCTATCTTGATTATGATTGTTGAATAAATTAGTTTAAATAATTGGTGAAATTTAATTTATAAAAAATTATATTCGGATTTTTTTTTTCTAATTTTTTGTTGAGTTGAAGTGCATTGTGCTCAAAAAAGAATTAAATTGATATTCTTCTTAATTATTTGAATTTGAAACTAATTAAAGTTTTGTCTAAATTATAATATAGATAATATTAAATTATAATTAACTTGAATGCGGTGATGTAAATTCCACATTGATTAAACATGTTAATAAACATATTTATAACACTTATTAGCGTTGATTAAGGTGGTAAGAAGAGTGGTCGGGTCACAAGTGCGTGTGCAACTTTCCTGCTTGGACCTGACCGAACACAAACAAAAAAACGACACTTTTATGAGCACAATCTTGGCCTCAAGATCGGAGCTCGGAGCTCAGTGCTCGTGGTCATGGATCTGGGAACTTGGTAAATGTTTGGCTAAAAAAGAAATCCGGGTACATGGCTAAATTGCAGGTGAAGAATCCGGACAAAATCTTAACCGATCATAGGTCTATCCATTGGCATCTATATCTAGTGGATTGCGATAATTATGACGGAATTAAAATTATATTTATGGCCAACGTCATGGCTATAAATTATGCCTGTTGCCTTAACCTCTGAGTGAAGACACCTAAATAAAAGACTTTTCTTTCCACTTATAAGTACACTACCAAAAATTCTCATCTCCTTTTCTCTTTACTCTAAAATTTTCCCGGAAAGCTCAGTCCCGTCATTATTTTAGTTCACCGGAGCTTCAACAATTTGAGGCGCCACTCTTATCGGAGATGGAGTCGCTTTATCTTTAGGAGTATAACACCGTCAATCGAAGACACTACTGGAACATATCTACTTTGTGGAGAGAGGACTACCTCGACTCGACTTAATTTTATGGTCACCTCTTTTTAATATTCTCGCAATATTATTATTTATAACATAATATGCTAAAAACGTTATGACAGAGCCTGTTAACACATCAGTATACATGCTCAATAGATTGAAAACAAAGGTTGTTTGAATTAAATCAAAGGTTGTTGGAATTAAACACTATACAAAGAGTTCTTTTTCTTTTTTATTTTTTAACTAGATATAACACTTTGATATTCATGGGTAGCACTACCAAAGACTTTCCTTTCCTCTTAAAATGGCATATTTTTTTACATTATTTAAGCCAATAATTATTTAAAACAAAATAAAAAAAATCTATGGAAGAATTATTGAAAAAGAAATAAAAATATTTATGGAAGAATCTTATCA